TTCTATTACAGTGCAGGTAAAACTAGGTGAAGTGATGGTCTTTCCTTGCCTGAACACATGTCAAAAAGGCATGGAGTGGGAGAGGAATTCAGAAACAAGATGCTGTATATCATCTGGCATATTTCTACTAACTTCTCTGGAGCTAAAAAAATTGCCTGGAACTAAAAAAAATTGCCTGAGATGATTATGGGCCCTAGTTGCTTAATTTCATTTTGTGAAGTGCATTTTTGAGTAAGTATTTGATGCCAACACAGTGAAGCATCTTCTTAAGGAATTATTATCCCTAAGATAAATCTGAGACAAACTGAGGAAAAAAGTGGGACTATTTTCCAGAGTAACAGAAGTAACAATACCTTGTTTTTTTCACTCAGTAATGGATCTTGTATGCTCAGTTAATATTCAGTAATTCATATTCTAATTGCTGCATTTAATAATTTTAGAAATATATTATATTTTGTCTAATTAGAAAAGCATTTAACAAACAAGTATCTAGTTATTATCACTAGAATTCCTACTTTACCTGCTTGTAAAGTAGGTAAAGTATAAAGATGATAGCCTAGTAGGCTGAAATCCTTTTTGAGATTAAAAATTTAAAACTGCATAAGAAAAGCTGTTTGGATATGTGTTGGGAATCAGTTCAGACTTGGTCTAGATACATTTCTGTTGTTTCAGATCAGGATTTTCTGTGCAAAACATCTATTATGCTGCCGAACACGGGAGTGCAGATGGCAGTGGTGGTGATCCAGCCAGCGCAGCAACATGTTTCCATAGCTGGTGTTGAGGAACATGTTCACTGAGGTAGCTCGGGTGCAGCTGCAGTGGGAGCTGCAGGCTGAGCCCAGGCAAAGAGGCCGTGAAGAGCCGACCCTGGGCACTCCAGGGCCCAGGGACCTGTGGCCCAGCCAGGGGACCGGCCACTGGGACACGGCAGGAGCCGACGATCCCAGACCTTCCCACGCTTAGACTGCTGAGGGGAAAAAAGCCCAGGGCAGGTCCCTTCATTCTGGGTCCCTCCCCAGAGACACCAGCCCGAGCTGTTAGTTTGTTATTGCGCTGTGATGAAATGATTTCAATGGTTGGGATGCCTGAGACTGCTACGGGAAACCTGGGGTGCACCCAGTAAGGAAACCTGTTCCGACTGTGGGAGTGTGGGGGCTGTAACTGGGAAGAGCCTCAGTCCCAGCTCAGGTGGTGCAAGAGTGACTGCCAGAATGGCTCCCAGACGGCTGGGCAGGGAAGTTTGCTTAACACTGGACGCTGTCAGCTGCACCAGAAGAGTGTAAAAACAAACTTTAAACTCCAGAGGAAATGTTCATTTTCATCAAACCTGATTTGATTGTGGAAAAAAGGGTGACAGTTTGCTTCCATTGTCATGTTTATAGTGATCCTGAGTGCTCCTGCAGCATAAAGAGATTTATGCCTTTGAGTGCTGCAAAGCTTCTGACCTCAGGAACATTTCTTGGCAATGAGTTTCACAAGGTAATTGTGCACTAAAAAAATGCATTTCCTTCTGTTGGTATGAAATGTGTTGTCTGTCAGTTGTATAGGCTATCTCCTTTCCTTCTTTTTTGATATTACTGGTGAAGATGTTGGTGATTCAAATTCTTTTCTCTGTCTGATGCCTGCCCAGCTCACCAAATAGCCTTTTGGGGTCTTCTGGGGGTGGTGAGCAAATGGGCATTATCAGCCTGTTGAATCTTATCTGTCCTTTATGTGCGTTGAGTCATTATAGAATTTATTTACTCTAGAAGGACTTTATATGTTTTATGAAGAGTCTGCATGTGGAGCTAAAAGCAGCTATACAAGCTGACCCAAGAGATGGTGGTAATAAGCCCTCAGACAGGAAAAAATGCTGGAAGAAAATATTTATCTGAAACAATTTGTCACTACTGTATCTGTTGAAATAAAATGCAAAGGTACCTGAAATGGCATTTGGTAAACAAAAACTTCAAAATCTGAAGTAACTTAAGAGGTGTATTCCATTGAAAGAATATGCAGTACTTTACAACTAGTATTCAAGGAATTAGAGTGTCTTGGTAAGCAAATTCCTCTTGACATTTCTTGCTAAATCTGTGCCTTGTTAAATCCATGACAACCATACTATTGTTGCTGAACTTTGACTCTCTTCAATGTGATTCTGTAATTCTACACTTTTTAATTAGAGAAGCTAAAAGTAACAGCATGTGTGCCTTTGGTGTATTATAACTACAGCTAGCTACTAAATAACTGTGCTTTTAAGTTGTGTATATTTTGCTTGCAAAGTATCTCTGAATTTTTGAATTTATTTAGAAGAGGAAGGTAATATTTTATTAAGCCCTTTCACCCCTTCTATTTGTCACAGATATTTGGGAATACTTTTGATAGCAAAATTAACACTGCTGTTGATAAGTTTTGTGGTTTCTGCCTTTACCATTTGCAGAAAAGTGCCAAGACTAAACCTGAATAAGACCATCAGCATTAAACTTTCTGGCAAACTGGAAGGTTCCTTTAGGTACAAGTATTTTACTCATAATGGGTGTAGAGGAGTTGAGTGAACTCTTAGTGTTCAGAAGTCTAGAAATAGGTACTGTTTTGTGCTTTGTTCTGACTGTCATTAATTAAAAGTGTGATACAAATTGCATCACATGGGAAAAACTGGTAGAGATAACAAACATAGAAGTGATTAATTCAGTGGTGGTTCTGTATGGACAGATTTCTTTTACTGGCCGTGTAGATTCTTAGTAGGTTCAAAAAATTTGCATTTCAGTCAGGGTTTATTGTCCTCCCTGCCTATTTTCACAGCTGCTGCTCAGCTGTGATGATGGGTAAAAATGAAGAGTATGTAAAAACTCTAAGGTCAAATGCTCTGAAATGTTTTTTATCACCTAATTGTCAAATAGTTTCATTCAGAATTCTTAAATGAAACCTCTAATTGCTCAGAGTTCTGATGTCATATTTGGTCATTAAAAGTTATCACTGAAAATGTAACTAGTCCAGAATTATGTGCATTTCTCATGGCAGTGTTTATCACACAGTTACTCATACCATCTCCAATACAACATTACTAGAACAATGTCTAATCTACCTGATTAAAAATTTGATACCTGGAATAAATCTGATACGATGTCTATGTGGAACTCTGTTTAAAGTATCACCAGTAAAAGATTCCCGACTTCATATCACAGAGACAACAAATGCAGAAAAAAAAAAAGGAGTTTCACTACCTGATTAAAAGTTTGATACCTGGAATAAATCTGATAAAATATCTACATGGAACTCTGTTTAAAGTCATCACCAGTAAAAGATTCCTGACTTCATATCACAGAGACAACAAATGCAGAAAAAAAAAAGGAGTTTCTAATCTTTCATTGTATTTACTTTAAATTAGCTGATACAGTCTATATTGTGATCTCTGAAAGTCCTTTATAACCAGAACTTAGGAGGACATTTATACTGTAATAATTATTGCCAACTGAGGTATATATCCCTCATATACTCTAATCTCCATGCTGAACAAACTGAATGATGAGGATATACTGACATATTTATTATTAAAAATAGAATATCCTGTAAGTAGTTATTGAATAAAGATTTCTGCATACTTCTTTTGTTATGATGATTCTACAGTTTTCTTAAATTGTCTTTAAAATATATTGTCTTGTTCTATATCCCTGTGAAGTAGTGAACAGTCAGTGTGTAGCATCATGAACAAATCTGTTTATAAAGATGAGCATTGCATACAGGTGCTCTATAAACTATTCAGCCAGGTAACATGTGTTTATAACTTCCTGTATTTAAAATAAATTGCTTTTAAAATCTTAAATTGTTAATGAATTTTTAAAAATTACTTGTTTACTTGGAGAAAAATGTGCTGTTATAGCATTATTAGCTGAGAAATCCTTCACACTGGTTTTAGATACTTTCTGCAAACTGCCAGCATGACTTGATTTCGTTGGAGTTGGTCACATCATGCAGCTGTGACAGAGGATGATTTTCTTGAGTGTGTCTCATGCATGATGAGTTTGATTAGGAGGAGTGTTTTTCTTACTTACTTAAAATGTTCTTCTTTTACAGTGAAAGTGTAAGTTACGATTTTATTTGTAAGCAATTGAAGTGTAGTATCTGCAATACACCACACAAAAGTATATTCACTGTCAAAATGACAAGACAACATCACAGAAATTGACTGCTGGAATTGACAGAGGTGACAATCAGGCTCTGAAACTATTTTGTTCTGATTGCATATTCATGATTCCTCTCTATAATATGTTACAGTTACTGTGTGAGTTGTTCTAAGCAGATGTTTTGATGTGACTAGTCTGACACCTTGTACTTTGAGATTTGCAAGTCTAATCTTTCAATCTTTCACACAGTTCCTTTCACCTTTTTTTTTTTTTTTCCAGTGTCTTAAAAATGACTTGCAGGCTTAGTTCTGGGACACATCCAGGAACAGGTACATGCCAGAGTGCAGCAAACTGCTGCACCCATGTTGCTACACCAGTGATGGTTGATTACTGGTGCAGCAGTAAGCTGCTCTGACACCATACAGCTCACCCACAAGGAGCTGTCAGAAACTGCTGAACACTCATTCAGCAGTAGTGAGAAATGTGTTTTCATGCACACCCATGAGCAAATAATTTGCCTGAATTTCTCTCTGTCCTTGGGTAGCTCTTTGTAAGATGACTCTCTTGTTTGCTGTTTATTTGACTCATTTGGCTTTTAGGAAGTCTCTTCCAACATGCTGTGCCATAATAACGACAGCTGCTGGTGAGTGAATGATAAAGCTGCAGACACTTGTCAAAATAAACTGCTCCATTTGCCTCTTGGATAAGCAGAAGGCAATGTTCTCTCTTCTTTTATGATTTTCATTCAAGTTCAGAGAAAAATTTGGAGAGAACAATGCAAAGACATTATCTATTCCTATTTTTTCTTTCATTGTTTGTTTTTCAGAAAAAGTAAAAGAGTTTGGCAATTGTCCAAATAAATGATGATTTAAATTAATTTTTTTTTCCTTTTCCCAGGAAGCAACAAAAAACCCCTGAAGTTCTATATAACTACATTTCTGAAGACTTTCCAGATTGTATTACTATGTAGTCAATGGTCCAGAAAGAAAATGACTATAAGGAGAATTTATGAACCTTGTGCAAAAAGAGAGATGAGTGAATTGCACTTTTATTTCACATTAATTCCCTCTTTTTTGTCATCCTCCTGTTAACTGTACACAGAAAAGTTTGAACTTGATCTTAATGCCAAAGTAGAAAAGATGGGTTTTATAATTCAAAATATGTTGTGCAGTTAAGAACTACTAGTTCCTATCCATCTCCATTCATGAACAAAGGAAATATATACTATAGGCTGTAATTCAAGACTCAAAGACATGGGAGGGATCCCAAATTTACTTTGCTTTGCTTTGTCCAGTTGCTGCCTTACATCTGACCTTCCTCACATCACAGTCTTTCCACCATATTCCTGGGTGCTGCTGCCCATGTTTTCATTGCAGAAAATATAGAAATCTTACATTGGCTAATCTTTCTCTCTGTGCAGTTCACATCTAAAGGCCATCATGCACCACAGTCATATGGATTTGACTAATTTTTGAGTTAAATATGCTTTTGAGTGGAAAAAGAGAGGGGCATCTCTCTGCAAAGTGGACAAACTCTTGCAGCTCTGAGGCAACTCTTGCAAAGAGTTGCACAAAAAAAAAAAAAACAGCTGAAAGCTAAGTTTTATGCCTGAGGGACAGTGACCAGAGTAACAGGGTAATTTTCTTCTGCTCTCTTTGTGCATCCAGTATAAACACGTCTGGATTTGTTGGACTTTGAGGATTAGTAAGTTGCATGAGTGGAGGATCTGCTCTACCCAAGATTAAAGAAATAGGTCCTGGTATTTTGACAAAGCCAGTCAACAGGAAACCTAGACTTTTCAGACCAGGTTACCTGGACTTAAGGTATTTGAAGTGAGTCAACCAGACAGAGAACACTGTTGAGTCTGGTCCTTTAATGGGGAGTAATTCACATGGCAACACCTTGGACTGTTGTCAACATTTCTGCAGTACTGAATCAGCCTGGAGCAGCAGCTGCAAGAGTACTCAACTTATCAGAAAGCACATTTTGATGTCTACCTAAATGGGAGAATACATTTAAAAACTTAGGTGGAACTACAAAAATCTGGTCCCTTCACAATGCATCATTCAACCTTTCAAGTGTCTCCATGTCCCTCCCAACTCCTAGACCTACCTGCAGCTGAATAGAAAGAGTGAAATCACCTAAGATGGCAGAGCTGTTCAAGCCTTGCTGTTGTCTGAGAGGAAGCAGAAATTACTTTTCTGTCTGCCTATCCCCTGCTGCAGAGACCTGCCTCCTCTTTTGCAGCTTCTGTGGGAGCTCGGTGAGCTCAGGGTGCTGCACTGGGATCTCTGTTCACACAAACCAGAGTGGTGCTGTGCCATGGCCTGCTGGGATAACTCTGCCATCAAGTGAAGAACAGACAGCCTTTTATAGACCCACTGCTGACCTTGTTAAAACAATAAGGATGTTCTCTTCCCTCTAGATGCATGGTCTGGAAAATATTTGTGCTCCTGCAAATTTTGGAAGAGATGTCAAAAGGAGGATATTTTTTGTAAGATGATGACATATTTTTGCAATTCTACTGCTTTTAAGATGCCATACATTGAAATGAAACCTTGTAAATTTTCTAATGATACTTGTAAAGTTTGTTAGTGTAATACCTTTATCAATTTTCATGTTATGCTGGTGCTTTTCTGAAAACAACAACAAACATGATAAAATGCAGTTTGTTAAAAATTGAAGTGTTTAATAGAAATTTTCTCCTAAAAAATAAATTAAAGTCTTAGAGCACATTTTCTGTTTTCTTATGTCAAGGCATTTCATAAATGTCAAAATAGCTTTTCTTTAATTTATAGCATACATTAATGTGCTGTATGTGTATAGAAATTATGTTACTAGATGGTTAATGTAACACTCTTTGAGTTTTATAATGAAAGGAGAACAAAATCTTTTCATGATGTTGGCAAATACTTAGATATTATTGAAATTACTACTTTTAGGGTTTAATTTCATGGTAAATTTTTCATTTCAAGGTAAATATATGATTTTTGACTTTTGACTTGGATATGAATTAATATATTTCTACTAACTTCTAGGAATGTCTTCAGAACACAAATCGTGTTTAATGAGTTTTTTTCACCTTTTTGTAAAGAAGTAGCAACACACATTTTCCCACAAGATGGCAGAGGCGAGTTGTGAAATTTATGGGCAAATATGTATGGAGACACATGAAAATCTGAAAATAGAAGATACAGGCTCAATAAACCAACAAAACAGAGTATCATGTATTATATTGTAAGTTCATATACCATGGCTTTCTGACAGCAAGCCAACACTGAATACGTTCTTATTTCAGTTATCTAAAATCTTATTTTTCTTTAAAATTAAGTCTTTTTGGGTACAGATTTCATTCTCAAATACATATTTTTATATTCATATGGCTGAAAAGTATCATATATTGTATGCTGTTACTTATGTAGTTAGAAGCCACAAATTATTTTAAAAAAAAGAAAGAAAAAAAAGAGGAAAATGTATTTGAAAACACAATTAAAAAGTTTCACTGCATGTGTAGCGATAAATACATATTTTTAAAATTGTATTTTGTATTTCTACAAATTGTATTTTATTAATAATATTAATATTTTATTATGACAGATCTTGTTCTAAATCTCATTCAAATTGACATTAAAAGCCCCATAAGTAATGAAATACTGCATAGCAGGGTTGCCATAAATATACAATAAAGTCCTTGTTCAATAATGAGAGGAACCATCCATCATCAGTGGGCATACAGTGATCTTCCCTGTTCCTAACTGAGAAACAGAAACATGGTTTCACACTACCTTCATAAAAATCCTGCAATTCTTTTTATTCTGATCTAATTTGAGCTTGGCAAGAAAGTGAGTGGAGTAGGGAAGCCAAAACAGCAAATTCCAAGCCTTAAGTAAAAGCTGGTGTTTTTCCTCTGTTTTGTGTGAAGCAGCTTGGACTGTGTGTCTCTGTGTGTACACACCTCCCCCAGCCCCCCTGCCTAATTCCAGCTTTTCCAACCCTATTCCCCAAAAGGATGTTGGGAAAAAGCACCTATACTGCTAATTATGAACACTATTTTACCATGATAATGCAAAGAATGACCATTTCCAAAGATGCTGGTGCAGAGTGAGTGGAGATGTGGTGGAAACCATCAGTGGTGCAAACACAGGAGACAAGGCCAGCTCGCAGCAGCTCAGGAGCTGTCCACATGAGTTCAGCCCTTCCTAAGTCACAGCTCTCTATGAGGGATGGTAGATTTACTCAAGGTAGTGTAAAACCTTCCTGTGAGATTTGCATGAGGAAATGGTTCATCCAAATGGATCCCAGCCGAGGTTAAGGACGGCCATTCAGAAAGCATGGCTTGGCCCCATCCAGCACATGCACTTGTTGGTAAAGAGTCACTCCTGGATACCCGTGTCTTTCCAAAACAGGAGAGAGGCAGCTGAGGGTGTCTGCTCTACAATGTAGCAGGGAATTCTGGCTGAGACAGATTCCTGGTCTTTTCTGCTGACATTGTCGAGTCAGACCAAGTTCCTACTTTTTCAGATGGGCTCCCAGCAAGGTGATATCACCTCGCCCTTCACAGGCAAGGAGAGCTGCCACACAGCCTCAAAGCCAGCAGTGCAGCAGACAGCAGGGATGGACTGACGCTCTCAGCTGCTGTAGGGGGAACAAGAAGAAGCAAGGTAGGCTGCAAGGTCTTGCGCTGAATCTTTGTATAAACTTAACTTTCCCTTTCTGTCCCTCAATTGCTGTTACGCTGTTGGGTCTTTGAGTGTACATTTACAGGAATGCATGTTTTGATGTCAAAAAGACTGTGCAAGTCATCTCTTTATTGTTGAACAGATACGGATGTTGCTTCCCCATGGCTTTGAAAAAGAAATTCCAGTGGGAAGGATGCTCCACAAGTCACCCAAAAATTTTCACCTTAGCTGTTTGAGAGCTTTTGTTAATCTTTAGCATAACTTTCTTAACAATTATAATTTGTGTTCATAATTTGGAATTTGGTTTGGATTTTTTTTCACTTTTGACCAAATTCTAATCTGCTTTGCAACTGCTATGTTGATTGAAGGCTTTGAAAGCTGATGTTTATTTCCTGTAGTTTCTTTATTTTGACTACAATAGATTTTTTGTTCTTCATTATATTTTATGGCTTTCCTGCTTTATGCAAATTTTTGTTATCTCCCTTTACTAAGAGGTAGATTCCACCTCTGCTGAAATCACCAAGGGCTACACTAGTCTCATGAATGAAAATTAAATAAAGTTATGAATGCTTTAAAGCTAATTGATGCATCATGTAAGTATTACACTGGCAAATGCAAATAAGGTGCAGGCTTTACTCTGGCATCTTGGTATCCTTTAGTTTTAACCTGGTAAACAAGGCTTACAAAAGTAACTGTCAGGTATTTTTATGTTTTCAAAACACTTTGTTGCAACATAGACTGAGATGATGTTGTTTGCTCAATGGAAAGCTTTATAGGTGGGTTTTTTTGGTTTTTTTTAAGACTTATTGCAGTTTCAGGTTCCCACTGCTGTTTGGATGTCCCAAAGAATGGGAAGAGTCTGATTCCCAAAACACTACCATCATTTGTACAAATCAGTTTCACAGAGGTAAAATTCAACTTGGCTTCTGAAATCAGTTGTCTGCAAAAACAACCAGAGAAGCTGAAATTAAAAAGAATTTGCCTAAAATGAGTTTTGAGTTTGCTTCTGTTGTGGTATCATCTTTTTGATGTTGAATTAATCGTATCCAAATACAGGATTCCAAATGGAAGCCACTAATGCTCAACAATAAATAAGACATAATCTTACCTTTTCCAAGTGTTCTCGACCATGCTCTGAAGATTTTGAAAGTTTTACATCTGTTGTGAGTTGGTTTAAACTTTTGAGTGCATTGTCACAGAAGGAAAATATACTCATAAAAAAGTCACCATAAACTTTCATTTGGAAAACCTTTTTTAAAAAAATCTATATTCCTTACAAACCATTACCACTTTTAGAAAGCACAACCAAAGGATATAGGAATAGGAATGACTTTTGTGCTTTTTAATTTTTCTAACTGTGACAAGAAAGTGTAGTTTACATATGAAGTGTCAGGTTGTTTGCACAGTCTCACAAGCACGTGGTGGCTTGCAGTTGAGCACAACAGAACAAATGGAGTTGGCATTTTCTTTCAAATTCCTGGTGAGAAATCTGGATTACAAATTGAAGGGAATGGGCTTTAAATAGATGGTATAAGAAATTGTTATTTTTTTAAAATCTTGCATGCACAAACAAGAGCAGATATTGCTTAGCTTTCCACATTTTTTACACATTGGAGAATAATATTATTGTGTGTATTATCTTGTATGTATTACTCTGTAAAATCCCAAAAAAGCAATATGCAAAAGTGTCAATAATTCATGTTTGTATATCACTTGGTTTTGGAAAGAGGAAGGCTGAATCTGGGATGTAAGTCAGATTCATATAAAGAAAATAAACAAATTAATTTAAGCCAGCTTTCTCTTTTGAAAATGAAATAAAATATATTATTTCTTATGCATTTTATTCATCTCAGCATCTCTTTGTTTGGGCCATTTACAAGTAACATTAAAATATTTCATGATATTTGGCTCCAAAAAGACTTTGGAAAGTGAGTTTACTCTACATTTCATCAGAAACAAGGATTCTGGGATCATTGCATTTTCAACTATTCTGTTGATAATAGGTCAGAAAAAGATCTGATCCATTCTTTCAGCTCTTTTCATCTAATAATTGGAAAAGAATAAAAGTATTTTGTTTACATAATGCTACAAGCAGCTCTCTGAACACAAACAAGGAATGAAGATATCAGTACTTTGTCATTACTTTCTAAATTAGAAGTTTTACAAATAGTGCAAACTAAAGAAGGAGGAAAAAAGATTGAAGTTCATATTACAGTGGATTCAACAGTTCTGTCTGACTTTCGGTTTACAGCTGAAGTAAAATGTTTTATCTATCCTTCAGGTGCTTTCAGAATTTCAGCCTGGCTTATGTATGAATGTATGAGTTTTTCCAAGATCTATCTTCCTCTGATTGAGAGGCTTCACATTTTTGTTTATTGCTTACAGGTTGAAGAAATTCACTTGTATATTTGGAAACTTCATGAGGTTCTGTAAAAAGACGGAGCAAAAAGACACCGCTCCAGTAGAGCTTATTGCCCTCTCTGAGAAATGATGCATGGAACACTCTTTTAAAAGAAATTTAAATAAAATGTATAATTAAAATTCAGGTATAAATTCACCTTTTTCCTTGGTTATTTTGAGCAAAGTATGTCAATTTATCAAACAGTTTTACTGTCAAACCAGGCTACTCTGAAAAAGACAAGGAAAAATGCCAAACCACTTGCATTTAAACACTACAAATCCATTTTTATATCTGCCAAGTCTTGCTGGGCTTCACACCAAAATTATGTGAAACTACAAATTTCTTACTTTGCCACTCTGGCTCTCCAAGGATTAATTTAGAAAAGGGGAGTAATAGCCCACACGTGTGCGTTCTCTACCAAGACTCTTTCTTTAACATTTTGTTTTAACAGATTTTTTAGATGTTTTCTATCTCTTTAGAGTTTTAGAGAATAAAACCTTTCAGCCGAAAGTTTTATTATCTTGCAATGAGTACCTGGTCATTAAATCCTCCTGAGTTTTAATAGTATGAGGTCTCTTTCACTTGTGACAAGAAATTTTGCCACAATGTACAGCTCATGCAAAAACCCCTCATACAATTAATTTTTTGATGATTGTCCTTTCCTTGCCTTCTTGACAGAGCAATTCAGTACTTTCCTTACTAATTATGACACTTAAGCGCTTCGGAAAACACTTTTCATCTTCAAAGGTTTCTTCAAGCATTAAGTGATATTTGTTACGTGTTAAAACATTGACATGGGCCAGGCAGAGGAAGAACAGCCCCTTTTGTAGGAGCAGGTAAAGGAGTAGAAGGGTTTGGGATTTGGTCCCATTTGAAGTTGTCCTCACACAGCCTTTTCTGCAGCCGGGCAAGTTTACATAGCCAGTAATTTCACCCTGGCTTAGCCCCCACCTGCCTGCACAAGGTAATAAAGCCAGACCCAAATCCCGGCCTGGATCCCACCATCTGCTTTCCCGGTGCCCAAGGAAGGTTAGCAGATCCCTCCCCGCTGCATGCTGGCCAACAAGCTGTCTGAGCGCCCTGGCCACTGCTCCACCACGCCCTGCGGCATTGACATCCCTCCTCCTGGGTCTCCTTTTGCAAAACAGAGACAGCAGTGCTCCAGCGATCACACGGAAGCAGTGCTCCTCCTTGGAACAAGTGAGCTTCCTGCAGCCCTTCCCATCTCCTGCAGAGGGTGGTAGCTTCTTTATGTAGTCTGAATCTCACCAAGGTACATTGTATAAGCCAGAAATTTTACAGAGTATTATGTTCAAGCCATTTAGTTGCAACAGCCAGTATCACAAATATTGGAGATTTTAGTACATGTAGTAATGAAAACCCAATGGGATAAACTTTCAGGGAAATTTTATGGGGTCGTATTTAATCTCCTGCAGCACACATACCACACCTGCAATAAAAGAGTTGGAAGTATGGTTCAGTATGAGCAGTATGACTGACATGTGAACCAGAAAGTCATAGTGTCAAGAATGTTTTTATTGTGGGCTCTTTTCCTTACCTAATCTCCTTTGTCTCCTTTGTATCTTATCGCTGGACATATTATATTTTACCCGTGCCTCAGTTCCTCTAACTGTACAGTAATGAAATTCACACTTCCCAAAGTGCTTCAAAATCTCTGGACAAACTCAATAATTAAAAATCTCTGGACAACTGGCAGATCTGTATAACAGCAGTGGCAAAACTTCGTAGGCAAAAAGATTTCTGCAGGTACAAGATATACCACAATATGAGACTCTCTGTGATTGCAAAAATTGCATTGATCTAATAGTTCTTGACACACAATTGTTTTCACACTGGCAGTACAAATGCAGCCAGACCTAAGAGACCAAGCACTCCAGGGTAACTACCAAACTTTGGGCTACTAATAACATAAGCATCTAAACAGAAGTGGTTCCTTTCAATATGTACAGATTTTTCCTGATAATATAAATGACATCTGGTTACTGAAGCACATATATATATTGACAGTTACTGGCAGTCTCCACACAATTTTTATACAAATCTTACCACTGAAGGGAAAACATTAAGAAAGAAAATATTTGACATACCAGCAAGGAAACAAATAATGCTTAAAGCATCTAATTTCCTCTTACTGGGGTGCAAACACTGACCTAAATTACACTCTCTTTCCTTCAGTGCACAGTTTCAGTAACAGATGTTTCATACCATCTTCTGAAGAGCAGAAAGAAAAGTTGTATCATTTGAAATATATCTCAGTATTTTTCATTCATTAGAGTATAACTCATATATTTGGTTTATATCATCATTTTCATGTGCTGTTGATCACAGTACATCAGTCATCACCCTCTGTACAGAAGATATATCAACTCCCTATTTTGCATTACCTGCAGCAGCATATAGTGGTTCACCCTAAATGCTGAACCTGGACTTCTCTGTTCCTAACTGCCAGCATATCTGCACAACAGTCCTGGAGGAGCTCTTATCGTGAAACAAAGTATGTTTCATACTGACTGCTTTAAAATTCAGGTTTTTTTCCTCTGTCTTTGAAATTCCGTTGATTTGTGAGTGGAGGATTCCTTTCATGAAGTGTTGAGGGGCCCCTGCAAGGACTCTGATATGCAGAAGGAGCTGGAGCTTTTTTGATCAGTGTCTTTTTTTCCTGCTTGAATCCTGAATGCATCAGCTTGATAAATTTTTTTTGTTTTAGTTTCGTTTTGCTATCTTTCTCATTTTATATTCTCCATTCTATCTAGCAGAGGCTTTTGAATTCTCTGGCACTCCTATCATATTTGGACAGATAGGGAGGGGGAGCTCTTTATTCTCAGAGATTTTTTGATATCAGTGTTGAATTTAGTGAATTCCACCTTCAGTCTAAAATAGTCTAGCATACAGAGGAGTAGGTACTGAAACACCCAAGCTGCGTGCAGCTGTGGTCACCACCCAAATGCCCTGGGTAAGTCGTGGACACAAGTCACCTGGTCTTCTAGGCTAATACAGAATAGGTTTTCTGCACACAAAAGAATTTATCTAGAGATGACTGACTGGGGGTGTAGAGCATCCCACTGGCACGCATGATGTGCACGGAAATGTTTAAATGATGTATGGCATATTGCCCCTGTTTCCCACATTCCTTCACCTGGAGCTTGCTATACCCAAATCAGGGTACTCCTTGGCTTCCCTCCCCTTCTCTTGTCCAGGGTGAACAGGAGCTCTGCAGGGCTCCAGTGTTTCTCTCTGTCTGTGGTTGGCCATCCCTGCCATGCCTCTGGGTGCAGGTGGAGGGGCATCCTCTCCCAGGCCGCTCACTCACACACAGGGGCAGTGTTTTCTGCTGATCAGCTCCTGAGCCCTGCAAGATTTCCAGTGCTGGTGATACACACACTTGAAGCAGATTTCAGGGGAACATTAGTGACTTCATGTTTTGCAGGTCTTTGGAACTATCTCAAGGGAGTTCAAGAGGATTTCATTGACAGCAGTTGGGAATCTCCCCAAAGTGGCTGGTTACTGCCTGAAGGGCAGTCAAGCAACAAGGGAGAAAATGCCCTTAGTTTTAGTTTTGAAATATTTTTCTCTTTGCTAAGAGTAATAATTTTAATGTGTAATTTTATTTTGATTTGCAGTGTGTAATATTCCCACACTGAAATTTTACTGTCTCTGAAGTATCCTGTGTGAGATAGCTATAGAAGTTTCTCAGCCAGCTAACTAAAAAATTCCAAGAGGGGATTAGCCATTGCCTGCCTCCCTACAGTGAAGTTAATTTTCAGCATAACCATTTGGGCTTTCTGAAATTTGCTCTAGGTCTGTCCTAGTGCTCATGCTTGGTTCCTTACCTCAATTTCCCCATCACTTACTGTTGTCATAGGTTTTCAAATGCCGCTTTATCACATTAACTGTTGTCCTGCACTTGTGGGCAATATAAAGCATGAAATTGTCTCTGACTCCAAAATAGTAGCTAAATATAATGAATTCTCTAAGCACTTTATTGAAATGCAACATGAATCCTCCACTTTTATCTACACTGCAGCCTAAGCCATTGGTATACAAGATTATTTGCAGTGCTGTAACTTCTTCAGAAAAACTTTGTGAGTAAATCTTGTTTCATTGTTGCCTTACAGGGTTTCTGAAAGTGCAACCTAAAACACAAAATCTGTTTCAAAAACTGATTCAAACTTCAGTGTCCGCAGAACATCTGTGAGACATATACATGGGTCTTGTCCAAGGGCACCAGCTGGATACAAAGCTCCAAGGCTGTAAAGGTTAAATTAGTTTACTCTGCATGGGCAATTATCCTAGTACAAACTACTGCTGACCAGAAGACAGAATGACCAGTTTTAGGAGACATCAGTAAAAAAGTCCAGACTGCTATACTGATAAGAGGAGAATAAAGGGCCACCAGTTTCAATTAACACAACTTCATTTGTACAAAATCTGTCGAGGGTGTCCTTCAATGACATTGACAGAATTACCTGCATACTATCAGCATATTAGCTACAGTGGTCTTAGCTTGTAAAGCTCTCACCTTCAGAAATGTTTCATACTTGTGGCTCCAGTAAGTGAAGCAGCTCTCCAGCAGACCTCCACTTATGTCCCAGGAAATAAGTCCTCTACTGCTAAGGGTCAAGAATCCAAATCAACCAGAACTTTGAATTTGTCTTGCACTTGCACTTGGGTAAACATTATTAGAAAATTATTAGACATGAAGAATTAACTTTCATGCAGAAAACTTGCCCATAATTTCCCTTCTTAAAAAGAGCTGAGAAAGTGTACATTAACGTACTTTTGTCACTGACATAAATATGTACTTAAATGAGGGAATAGTAACAGTAAATGGGAAATGTAATTTGCAGTGAAAATCCTGCTTGAAATAATTGTGGAGGGAAATTATAGTAAAAAGGGGGAATATATTATTTTATGGTGCTGAATTGGAAGTTGTGTGTGCATTCATTTTTATGTAGAGTCTACTATTATTAAAAGCCTAAGGTTCCTACTGCCTATTCCTTTAAATAATAGAAATATTAAGGCAACACACACCTCAGGGTTCTGATTAGACTGTATGTAGTCCTATTTCAATGT